TTCCCCTACAGCTTCAGATAGGGCAGCTCCTGCCAGGATCACAGTAGTCTGTACAGACTGCAGAGCCCCTCCCTATCAAACAGCTACATTTGCTCTGGACAGTCTGGCTTTCAAGTCAGGTGCCAAGACATGCACCCAGACTTTCTGAGTGCTGCTTTGTAAGCTCATTGTTTGCCTACAGTGGGGCCTTCCACTCAGGACAGGCTGCGAACAGTGCTATCTGAGCTAGAGCCCAGACCGATCAGGGGAAGTTATACAAAGGAGGACATCAAGGTCACACACCACCACACATGCAGCAGACACCCCCTCATGCTCCGACACCCCTGAAGTCCCTTCTAATGGGCTCACAATAACTTCCACTATATAAAAGCAGTGGACAAAATTCCACACATGAAGAAAACAAAGCATTACAAAAATAATGCTGAAAAAGCAACATGCAGTTCTCCTCCTGCAGCTGCTCTACTGGAGAGAAGTCTATAGTTCGAATTCAGCCTTGCTAGAACAAGAACAATTTGACCTTTGACTCACTTAGATTTTTAGGTAAGTGTTTAAATTGCCATAAGTTATTGTACTTGCACAGTAGCCACTTGCTCAGTACACTAGTATTCAGTAGTACTAATTGTACACCAGCTAATTACTCAACCACCAGCTGAGTTGCGAGCTTCACATGCACTGCTTTGACTCTGCCAAGTCATCTTCAAAAGCAGTGTCACTTCATTGCCAGGGCTCTGTAGTAATGGCTTCACTCAGATGTCGAATCAAGCAAAGGCAGCCCTACAGAGACACCCTACAACGCACATCAAGAACATTTACAGACAGCTTTAGACATCCCAATATCCAAGCTGTCCCAGTGCAACAAGATGCTTGCAAGCGAGCACACAAATACACACACAGTTTAACTAAGTCTTTTCTCATCTAACTGAACTACGTAGTACAGTTAGCCTTTCCCCCACCATAGGCTTCAGCGTGCAAATTCTTTTTCCTGAAAGTATAGCCAGGACTACAGGGCAAGTTCTTCATCCTGAAAAACGGCCACAGCACATCCAGACACAAAAGAAAGTTATGATTTACAAACAATTTAAAAGCAAAACGGGTGTCTGCTTTAGCCATAAAATTCTTAAACTACCTACTGCTTAAGCCAAAGTATGTAAAGAACTGAAGGATTTACCAGGAGGCATGCTTTGAAAATACGGACACCATGAGAAGTTCTCAATAAAGAGAGCATCGGAAAGCACAGAGTATTTGTTTGTATTCTGCTGTTAGCAACTACATGGCAGATGCCCACACAAAGCTATTCATTTTCAACATTCAATTTGTAATTGAGAAGATTGATAAAATAAAACACTAGGTCTCTGATAAAGAGAATTTGTAAGTGTTCTAGGAAAAGACTGCCCTACCTGGGTTGGAAACCACCAGGATGGTGCAGTTGGGGCTGTATTTGACGATCTGAGGAACAATGAATTTGAAGACATTCACATTCCTCTGAACCAGGTTGAGACGACTCTCCCCCTCTTGCTGACGAACTCCTGCAGTTACTACCACAATCTTGGAGTTGGCTGTGACAGCATAGTCTACAACAGAGCACGGGGGAGAAGATACAGAATGTGTTAGACAGACTTACCACTACTTTCGATAACATTGTGTTCATACGGGTATTACGGGTAGCTTCTCCACCGTGCATACATTCAAACCCCAAAAACATGAGACATCAATATTAGAGCCAGCACCATCTCTTACGTTGTCCTAATATATTATTAATATGTGGGTCTTGAGAGTACATTCAAGCCCTGAACCTCATTCCCACTATCCAAACAACAATACTATTTCTTCTACATCAAAGAGGTACTAGAGCTTCACTAAAATCAATGTTACTCAACAAGCCCAGAACTGTAGAGTGGCCATTAGAGATCAAAGAGAAAGCCCAGATGAAGAGCCACTCCTATTGTTATGCTGTTCATCTGAACTTTCACCCCAATTCATATACTTTAATTTTTCAATGCCAAATCCTTAGAGTTCTTTAGGATTACACAACTAATGCTCCACTATTAAGCAAATTCACAGAATATCAGTATCAAATAAAAGAAACCAAGGTTCACCTTTGTCTGCCACAATCTTGTGAGTGTGAAGGAACAAGCTCCCGTGCTGTAGGTCCATCATTTCTCCTTTTAGTTTGTCTTCCAAAACATCAACCAGAGCAAGCTCATCACAAAGACCCTGAAAACAACAAAATTTGAAGGAGTCAGTCAAGCAGTTAACTTGCACTTTGAAGTTATCCCCGCGCTGAGCTATATTACATCTCAAAGTAA